CTTTTTTTTTTTTTTTAAATAGTAAGCAGATGTCCATCAGAAAACGTGCATTTAGTCATTTTTTTGACAGCACTTCAAAGAGTGGATATTTATTGCCTAGTAGCTTTTATTTTTTTAATCTTTTTTTTTTTTTTAACAAATCAGAAGTAAAAAAGTAAGATAAAAGAGGCTCTCCCAAAACTTATAATTTATATTGCAAGAGAAATTATCCAGTTGTTCTGGGTGGTACGTGAGTGTCTCAGCACACAAGATCATACATGTCCTTACAATGAAAGAGTGCCTGGGCTGGGTCACGTCATATCAGATATCCAACTAACCCACTTCCCTTTCTCATAATACTGGGCAATAGCACATCCTTAGGAAAGAGCATAAGATCGAGGCAAATATACTGATGCTTGCTCTGAACTATCCCCTGGCCTCTGACAGATTGAGGCTTGGGTTCTTCTTGAACTGAAGATGGAGACTTTGGATTCAGTAGGCCTGACTGGATTTTTTTCAGTGAACTGATCCAGTTTTCTCTGAACCTGTATAAATTTATAAGATTATCCTGCAGAAAGGAGTGCCACTGCCTAAATATGCACTTTGTGAAAAAGTATTTCCTTTTCCTCCTTCTGCTCCTCTCTGGAGGACGGTGATACAAGCGCAGGCAGGATGGTGCTGGCAGTTGGAGTTACGCTTCCCTTACTAAGTTTGAACATGGGCAGCCCAAGCTCCAAGTCATCTCCAAATGCCAGACTGTTCTCTAGACTCCCTACCAGCAGTGTAGATGTTACCCTAAATAAAACCCAGCCTTTTAGCATCAGATGAGAGTTTGGCCACTGATTGCAGTGGATGTAGGACCACATTCTTCTAGTCTTGCCAATAGGTTCCCCTTGGTTTTGCTGGGAGTGGGGGGTGCTCCTGTTGTCTGAACTGAAGGCCTCTTTGACTTAGGCATCAGATTTTGGCTAAACTTTATGCATATCCTGATGACCTCTACAGTGTATTCACCAAATGACTCACTAATCCTCAAAAACAAGAATTTTTTTGTTACTTCTACTGTTAAATGACACTGTAGAAAAGCTGCTCAAAAAGGGGGAAGGATCATAAAAGGCAGTCCTCTTAAATCTGTTTCCTCAGTGAAAGCTTTATGTGGCACCTCTGGAATAAATAGAAGATTTGTCATTGATTTCAGTAGGAATACTTTGCTTTAAAAGAAGAATTAGACAAATCCTGTCCTCTCCATGTATTTGATATATGACACAGGATGTACAGTTTTCTCTGGTGCTTCCCAAGTTCATAATGTGTATTTTACCTTAGTGCCACTTTGTGAATTTGTTGGTTGCCAGAAGCACTCTATCAGGGTTAAAGTTTTGCCTACCTTTTGATAGTTAAAACATTTTTTTAAAGGAGCGTTTAGTTGTTTTTACACAGGTGCCACGTGGGTGGGTTGGTACTGACCTGCCATCGGAGCAAAGTCTTTTTTTTAAGAGACTAGAATATATCAAAATGCTGCTAGCACTTTCATGGATGGGGATATTTGGTTAAATAGATGTTTATCTGGGAAAGTCATCATCTGGCTAGCAGCATACTGAATGTTTCTAAGCAGCTAACTTATGTATACTAAACAAATTTGGTTTGGCTGCAGCTAGAGCTGCCCTGTGGAAATTCTCAACATACATTTGTTTGATTGAGCTGTCATTTTCAGTTGATCTGCTGATGATCTGTGTCACTTTGTTTAAATGTCCTGGTGTTTTTTTATACAGTGCAAAAACAGTGTGCTTTCTGTGATGGATTAAATTGAGGTGAAATTCGAGAGTTACTCCTGTTTTCGATTTCTCTGTCCTGAGACAGGTGGGCTGGAATGACAAAGAACTTCACACACAAACACATTAAAACCAAAATAGAGTAGATGCCCTTATGATTTAAAACATCCGCAGACGTGTCAACTACCAAATGCTGCTGTTCAAAGAAGTTGCTGGGATTTGCACTTTAAACAATAAATGGTATTTATTTGTTCTATCCCATTCAGCTAAAATACCTGGACAAACAATGACATTGAGCTGATTCTACAGTCCTTTCTTGGGCAAAATTCCCTGCGGGTGTATGTGCCGGAGGGTTTGGCCTCTGGTGAGAGTGCTCAAGCTGAACATCAAGATCAAGTCACCAGTAAGCTGCAGGGAATGGAAATGAAGGTATTTTACGCATGCAGGAGCCTGCCAGCAGAGCTTGGGAAAGTGGGCAGCGTCTCTGGCAGTCTCTGGCCCTTGAAAATATGCTTTCTGCAGGCATTTTCTAATAGATGAAAGCTCCTTTAGGACCAAGGCACCTCGTTAAGTTTTCTGGGGAACTATGCTCAAGGTTTGGGCTTGTGTTTGTGCTTCCCACGCGTCCTGGATGTCCAAGATCTTGGTACTGTAGGTGACTGATATTGTAGAGAAGTAGAGAAGAGAATGACGATGACTCTAACTGGGAAAGAGGGATGCTGCAGTGTGAGGACAGACGCAAGCCGTTTCTGAACATGTTAGCGAGGATACAGGAATCTGCATGGCCAGGCTTAGCGCAGTGCTCTTCCCCTGCAATTCACCCTTCTTCCGTCTGACCTTTCCGTATCCCTAATCTCACATGCTGAAGAGTACGCAGCTTTTCCTTCTATCCAACGTGGGCTCTTGTGCAAGCGTCACCTAATTTTATTCTGCACTTTATAGCTCTTCGAACACGCTCAGGCAGTTTGCTGAAGTTCAGCTCTTCCTGTGTGAGCTACGGTCTGTGTGATCCATGAACTAGCACTTTGCAGAGCAGCTGGATGGTGGCTTTGCGGGGAAAGGAAGAATGGATGTGAAGTCAAGACAGCTTGCTTATTTTATGTGCTTTGTGAGTGTGGGTCAGTCATGTTCATCGACATAGCTGCGGCTTGCCCAGGGGTGAAATGGAGGCACGGCTGTGCACTGAGCGCTCTCTCAAGCAAGCCCTTGCAATAACACTTGAAATCCTTTCTTCCAGCATGCTTGCCGTTATGCGTGTCCTCTCCTAACTTGCTGAATTATCGTTCGCAGGAGTGTGGAGGAGGTCAATAAATGAGTTTAATGTTCTCTTTGAAAATTATTCTGGGAGGAACTGCTATTATTTTATTTTACTTCAGCTTCTAATGAGCCTAACAGGGAAAGCTTGCAATGCAGTTTGTTGCTTCCATTTCCCCACTTTAAAAATGTCTTCTGTGAGCAGCCGTTGCGTTGCCACTGCTTGAGCAAGTGCCGCGTAGACCGGTCATATCATTCTGTTTTTCTACTTCCCTGATACGAATATTGCAAACGGCAGGTAAAGGCGTCTGACGAGATCTCCTTTGTGATGCTTATAGCTTTGTGGTGTAACTGTTTAGCTTGAAAATTTCTGTGTGCTTTTGGCTTTATTTTGGGAGGAAAACTTCAGCAAAAGCAACTTAACCCATTCTCAGAACAATGTTAGGAGAAACCACGTTATTTTCTTGGCATAAAAATTACTCTTCACTTTTGCTCAAGGACTCTGTCACTTCCATGCATTTGCATATGTCTCTCTGTGTGTATATATACTGTATTGTATTGAATATACATTTTGTATATATACATTCTTGTCATTATAAACAATACTTAAATCCATGTCTGTAAACATAAACAGATATATGGTTAAATATTCTTTATAGCAGAAGATTAGTCTGTAGTGACATAATAACTTAAGTAGAATTAAAGTATATAATACTGCATGTTAGTTTGAGCTTATAGGGTCCTCTGATCCTTTGGGGTGGAAAGCACTGCACAGGCCAAGGTCTCTAATGGCAAGGCATCCAATTACACTAAGGCTGAATTTGGTCCATTAAGCTCTATGTATTTATTTAAGCTGTCATATATATCAGACTGCACATGAAAACAATAGAACTCATGAAGATTGCCAGTTTGAAAAAAAGATTATTTTTCAAATTTGCTTCCAAGTTATTGGGATGAACCAGAAGCTTTCAGAGTGCTGATTTATCGCTCTCTGCTAGCAGCTCACCAGGATCCCTCTGCTTCTCCAAGATCAACAGCTTCATAGAAAGTGATACAAGGTGTATGGAACAAAGAGTGGAATAAATTACATTAGCAGTTAACTTTCTTTACAGTTAATATATATCGATAAATATCTACAAAACGTTTGAGGCTTTGACCAGGAAGCCATGTAAAATAAACTGTAGTCCCACTTTTTTTTAAAGTCAGAATAGATCTAACTGATGTTAACTGTTTCACCGCAGGGGGCTCATTCTGGTTTCACACTGGTGTCACTGTTGATTTCAGAGGGTGGATGTGATCAGAATCAAGAATGTTGGTCCTTCCTTCTTACAACAGACTATTAGTGGTACGAGAATACTTAGCATTTATACACTGTCCTGCTTTACATCTTCAAAGCACCAGAGAGAGATGAGCTATTTGCCCTGGGTCTCATCTGAAGCAAATGAGGTAATATGATCCCATGTAAGAAACAGGAAACCTGAGAGTGAAAAGGAGAATTTATGATTGGACTTTTTGAGAAAGCAACTTAGTATGCAATATCAGAGCTACTGCTTCTCATTAAAAGCAAAGTCGGTTGGACTACATGGCCTCACAGAGCACTGTGTGAGTGCTCCTGAGTGTGTCTAAACATCTTCTCAACCCTTTGTCCCTAGCTGGTCTTGAAGAACTCTATTCCTTGCTGGTCAGAAACTCCTCAGTAGTTCTTGGGTCTGGAAAATCTCTGACAGTGCAGCTCTTGGCTTGTGCGGAGGTCTCCGAATACATGAGAAAAGCAGGGAGAGCCGTTAGATTAGCTGAGATAATACAGCGAGGTAATACAGCACTCCCAACAGGCAATGTAAGGGAATAAGCAAGGACCAAAGCGCATACATCTGAACCCAAAGCGTGCGTCAAACCTGAGAAGAGCTAAAGTGATGTTTAATGGAGACTGCCTCTGTGACAAAGTATGCCTGTACCTCTGCTGGAAGCATGATTGCAGCCTACCTTGAATGCCCAGGCTCGATGGCTAGCAAGGTAGGGGAAATGCGCCAGGAGGATGCAGGTGAGCTGGTCCGCTAACGAAGATCGCCAGCCTCGTTGCGCCTGGGCCTCTGCCTGGCACCGGCAGTGAGGCTCCTGGCCCCAGCGGCACCGCAGGAATAGCAATGCCAATGGATATAACCATTTTGCAAAGAAAGAGAAAAAGGGGTCAATAGAGTGAGGTGTCAGTCTGCATCCATGCAAGAGTGTGGCAAAGGATATTTTTTGGCTGAGATTGCAAATATTTGTAGAAGAGGGAACAGGCACCTACTGGCATCTGTTTCAGACCACCATCAGGGGAAAGAAGCAAGAGTGGAAAACTCTTGGACCAGCTTAGATAGTGTTGAAAACCTCAAAGCAGTAAACCCACAGAGACTTAAAATTCATGGAAGTGCTAGGTAAAAATATGGCCAGATAAACACTCTCACAGAATTTTCTAACTTACATGAAAAACAGTTTTATAGAAGAGAGGTGACAGCATCCTGGATTTACCTAATTTCTGCAAACACTTTTTCTTTAAAAAAAGCTCCTGATTGTTCAGCAAAACCCTCAAAGCTTTAATATTTGGGGTTTGGATTTTCTTCCTTTTCATAAACTTCTCTGAATGTTTTATGTTTTCCTTTTTCATGATTTTTTGGTAACAAAATGGAAAAGAAAATGAGGCATTTCTGGGAAGAGTGGGAAGAGAAAGAAATAAAAGAGAGTGGAGAGAAACCTAAGGGTTTTCAGGGAAAAAGTTAAACCCCATTTTTCAAACATCTTCCCTTAGTAGTAGAGGAAGACAAAATATGGGGAAAATGACGCAGAAACTGGGAATGAGTGAATGCAGCCTATTTTCACTGGGCCTAGGAAGTGTATGAAGCACCACAGCATGGTGGTGCTAAATTCCAGAAAAGGAAACCTTAGTGACTGTGGAAATGTAACGATCAAAGCGCACAGGCACAGCAAGCGAAGGTGACCCGGGCCGTGGGACAGGAGCGTGAGGGGTGCGGGCTGTCCCTGGGGTGATGCTCACACCATTGGGCAGCCGTTCTGGGCTTTCTTTCTGCCACCTGCCTTTGGGGAGCACTAGGAAGCTGTGACTGGGCCGGGACAAGGGAGGACGCTGGGCTGAGGCACAGGGTGGGAGACGGGAGGTGGCAGCTGATAGGGAAGGGACAGCTGATAGGGATGGACTCTTCACAGTGCCTGGAGAGATGATCGAAAGGAAATGTTTGGTTGCTAAAGGTTTGTAGGGGAAAGATCAAGTGTGGCAAATAATGAGTTAGAGATGGATTTGGGAAACGTGTTTCGGAAAGGACTCCGTGCTTTCGCAGCTTCATCGCCTAGGGTGTGCAGTCTGCCGCACCCTTTTTGGGCTGCACCCCTTGGACTCTTTCTATCTCCGTACGGATGGTTTGTGTTGTTGTAAAAAGCCTAGCTTTTCCCCCCTTCTTATACAAAGGCTAAGGAAAATAATTGCCACAGATCCTTGCAGCTCATCACACTTGTGTATGCCACGTATTTTCTAGAAAAAAAAAACTATTTCAGAAAGGCGTTGGAGAATTGTATGTATGTGTAACCGAATTGTATGTATGTGCAGTTCTCTTCTGCGTCCTTCCTTGTTTAAAGTCGTAATACCATGTACTCTTGTCCTGCTTCAGGGCAGTAAATAGCTTGCATCTGGTAGTGTTTGGGTGAGTACAACCACCACTACGAGTTCCACGAACAAAGCTTGTCTGCGTCACTGCTGAAAGGCTCGTTTCATTGCAGTCCCTAGCAAAGTCCCACAGGCTTTAAGAGGGCTGGGTTTATAACCAATAAATCCCAATTTGCCAGGACACTCTTGCCTTTTGAAATGTGCAGAGAACCCCAGGTATATTTTATTGATCGCAAATATTTTGTTGATATTAAAAATGAACAAGCGTTTCTTTAAAATGTGTGACTTTGACAAGTAGAATTTAGTTTGGTTGTGTCTGAACAGCCACCACTGTAACTGTTCAGAGGAACAAACAGCGTCTGGAGTGAAGAGAAAGTGGGATCAGCGTAGGTAATGTAGATAAACCTGTTCAGAATGCTTGTTTTGCTGGAAAAATGGGACTGGAAAGATTCCTTTGCTCTGACGAAACATGTGTGTGTTGTGTTGAGTGAGATACTGCTGAGAAGAACTTGTCAAAGGTATGAATGTCAGCTAAGGATCAGCATTTCACTGAAACAAATGAGGACAAATTGCCATTTTTGTCTTTGAAAAACTCCGCTGAAGTCAATGCTGGCATCCAGAAATAAAAATGTGCTTCTCTATGATGAAATAAAAATTTTCCAAAGGTTTTTTGTTTTTTTTATATATATATATATATACACACATATATACACACAGACACACATGTATATGTACATATATATACATATATATATATATATATCACTTTACTCCTCCAAACAACGTCCACCATCAATATACATTGATGCCCTACAGTATGGTGCGGAATGTACTCACATGTATAACATGAAGTATAGTTGCTCTTAAGATTCATGATTTTCCAATCAGCTAAGTATGTTCTGTTTGTTATTGTGCAACCTTGTAGAGGTATAACTACAGCACATGATGCTGAGAAGTCACTCGCAGGAAAAATTGTGGCCTTTGTATCTCCTCAGAAACAAATGCTAGAAAATAGTCTTGCCAGACCTTGAGATTTTGAAGTGGGCAGCATTATAGGATTAATTATTTAATACTTTTTCTGATTAGTGCGTTGGTTATGAGTATTTCTATTAGTGTTTCAAGGACTCAACTACACTGTATCATGGTGTCACTCAAATATAATTAAGCATCTCTCAGTGTAATTGTATAATTAAAAACCTGTCTGGCTGCTTATGCAAAAGCTTCTGTCTCCATTGTACTGTAGCTCGGTTATCCAGAGCAAACCGTGTGAAATTCCAGTCCCCCCCGAAATACTTGAGTATAGTGTGCAAACTGGTGCGTCGTGGTTCTTACGCAGGTCTTCCTGCTTTCCTCGCCCATGGAAGTAAGCTCAGGAAGGCATAGCTGCTGCTTGTTCCCGAAGCCTCCAAGGTAGATCCCTGTGGAAACTCCCGGGAGATGAGGATCAGGCAAGGGACAAGCCCTGTGGCTGGCACTGCGGCTGCTTCCTTGTCATGCCCCACAGCATTGCAAATGCCAAAGTACGATCCGTGTTTCATCCAACAGCTGGGCTAGCGTAAACCCTGCCATAACCGTTGGGCCTTCTCTGATAACTCCCTCAGCTCTTATTTCTTCACGTCCAGCTGCTTCCTCCCCGTTAGCTCACACCCGATGCTTTTCCCAAGGACGGGGTGCACAAGTGCAGGCTGGACATCGTTTTGGGATTCAGGCAGCACCGGCCCACTCCTTTGCTGCTTTCACCAGGGTCTTTTCACTGACGGTGGTGTGGATATTGTGGCGTAAAGGAGATGATCAGGCAGTTGAGCCTTGGCCAATCACTTCTTTAACTCTTTAGTGAGAACTGGTCAGCTTCCCAAAGCAAGTGTGTGGGTGCTTGTAGGCTAGTGCTGTAGTGGCCGCTGGAAGCAAGGGGTTAAATTCCTTTTTATTCATAATGCCCTTGGCAAACAAACTTCCTGACCTGGCTTTTTTTTTTTTTTTACTCCTTGCTGAAGTGATTACCCTTTGCTGCACTATGATGGAGCAAAAGCGTTTGTGTCTCAGAACGGTACACTACCAGATACTGACATGTTCAACATCTCCTGTGGCTTACCAAACACATCAGGGATGTGGACCTCCCTCTGTTCTCTCATTATGCCAAATAATGAAAAGTGGAAATAATTCTAATCCTTTCTTCTGGTTGTGCTGCACCTCTGAAAGTATGATAAACTCAATCCAATTAAAAGTCATTACCTCTACAAGGCTCAGTCTCTATCTATAACCTTTGTTTTATAATTCACTTTGTTATCTGTCTTCATTATAATTTGGTGAAATAGTCATCTTTTATTACTGTTTTCTGTTAGAAAAAGAGGCATGTGATTTCCAGTGCTACTTTGTAACACATCGCAGTTTAAAACAGTAAAGGTCTACTAATGAGTAAAAAGAAGTTCAGTTACACTGATTTATTACATTGAGATAAAGTTTCATTTACATTGATTATAATACTGTAGGTTTAAGTAATTGTTTTGATTAAAAATGTTCTTTTGCAGCAACAGTTTTTCAGCATGTCAATGACTGTTCAAGTGCATTACCTTTTCTGTCTTACTGCAGTGGATACAGATTGACTCAAATTTTGTTCCCAGAGAGTATTTGCTGAGTTGGACTGAACGATAAAAGCTATATATGAGTGAGTGATTTAACTTTCCTGTCCTTAGTTTTCTCCTAAGCATGCTGGCTTCTCATGCCATGTCAGTATGTGAATATACATCAAGTTTACCATTATGGCAATCAAATAATGAACAGAAGGTGGGTCCTCTAGACCAGTTTCCTGCCTTACTACTGGCCGGTGCTCAGGGCTCAAAATTTCAAGGCAGACTTTTTTTCTTGACTCTGCTCTGTTTAAAGAGTGTCGTGAAGGGAGTTAGTGAGTATGCATAAGCTGCAACAACACCACTCAGCGGAAATATTTTACTAAAATACGAAGTTAAGCTATTAGTTAAGAGTTTCAGCACATGTTGGGCTGCCTCCCCAGACGATGTGAATCTTTACAGGCTCATTGCTAGCTACGGATCTGGCCCACAATATATCAAACCTTGCAGCTGGCATTTCCCTGTTCTCTTACCCCGACTCTGCGTTACCCAGAGAAGATTTTGAAAGTCAAATATATATTTATTCCATTGGGGAAACTTTATCAACCTGCACCAAAGTTTATTGGCACTAGCTGGTGATATAATGGGTAGTTTAAACCCTGCTAACTGCGAATAATTTTTCAACAGTGTTTATGATTGCAGTAGACTTTAACAGACTAGAAGTACAGATAACATAAATATTTCTACCAGAGATGATTGTACTGGAACTATAAATAAAATTAGACTTAACTTGTAAATAAATTCAGTGTGTGCCAG